TGCACAAAAGACTTCTAACCTTAAGTGGGAATGGTTAGCAACATATCAGAATAAAATGATTTGCACATTGGAAACAAATTCAGACAACTCTTCTGATTGGTATAAAAATTTATAGTTTATCTGAAAAACCAAATTCAATGGTTCCTATCAATGTCCGGTTAAAGGCTTTGAGATTCAAATTAGTTGGCAATGAATTGTAAAACAAATTTTGGATGATGTCTTGTTAAAATATATTTTTCCAAAATACGCATTGGATATCATGAAATAAGTTCATGAAGGAATTTGCGGTGCCCACCGGGTGGACCTCAATATGAGATGAGCAATACATAGGCCAGGGGTATTATTGAAAAAATATATTAAATGATTATATTCAATATGCTAGGGGTTGTAAAGCATACCAGAGATGTGGTCCGCTCAACTATCTCCCCAGCATTATACTTCAAGCATCAACTAAACTGCGGCCTTTCAAAGCCTGGGCAATTCCTATATATTCAAACATCACTGTTTCATCGTTCTAGTGACCGATTACTTCACTAAATGGGCTGCAGTCTCATTAAGAAATGTTATATAGAAAGAAAACATTGACTTCATAGAAGCTCACATTATTAATTGTTTCGGGATTTCCAATTTAGTGATCATAGACTAGGGTTTAGCTTTTACTGGAGTAAAGTTTGTTAATTTCCTAGACAAATATCGAATATTAAAACATAGGCCTCGAATAAGGCCATCATCAATACCAACAAGAAGATCATTAATGACAACCCAAAGAAATGACATTTACTACTGCCACAAGTCTTATGGGTTCTTAAAAACAATAAAAATATTTCCATAGGGTTTTCACCTTTCAACTTACTTTCAGCCATGTCTTACTTGTAGAAATTTAGGTACCTACAGGTCTACAACTCGAACCTTGACTCCAATGATGATAGCCGATAAAGTTCATCAAAATTTCATGCTGCAATATTTGGAATAGTTGGATACTACATATATGATTTCAATCGATAATATGAACAGAGAGACCCAAAATTGAACCAAGCATTATGGCAAAAAAGTCCAAATATTGAAACCTGGTATCAGAAAAATTTTACCAACTTACAAGAAAATTGATTGATTAGATAGGTGGTCTTCAAATTTGGAAGGACCGCCACACCATTTACACGGAAATTGGTTACGGTGTTTATTTTAAAAATTAATACATGAGAATATAATACAAAACCTGAAAAGGTACTACTTTACCATTTTAGTTGATAATGAATAATAAGATTGACTTATTTCCGGCCTAGGTAATGAAGGCCTAAAATTTTGGAACCCAATTAAGGGTTCAATCGACCTAAATTTAGATTTAAGGGAGCATCCACATATGAATCAGTCAGATCTGCACACCACCGATCGAGAAGGCGAACTAGCTTTTCGTTTAACAAATCTCAAGATTGGGGCGATACATTTGGTTTGCAATTTTTCTAGTTCATTTTTTTGTATTCACACATGCAGTTGAACGATTGCCATTCTCACTCAATGCTCAGACAAAGTTCGATAAAAGACATACTCTGATGAGTAGACAAAATATTCCAATTCAGCTTGGATAGAACGGCCTGCATATGATGTTCAATCATATCAATATGATGATGATCTCACTACAAAAAAATAGTATATTTGTAACGGAATTCCGTTCTTAAAGTTTACGTAGCTAATGTATTTCCATCCCTAATTCTGTCTCCAATATCATTAGTAACGGAAAAAGTGGATTTAATAACGAAAAAATTTTGTTACAAAATTAATATTTTTTTTGTAGTGTCTAAATCAGAGAGGCGGCTGAGAATATCCTTTGATGAGTCATAACTATCAAAAACCTTCTTCATTAAGTGAGTTGTCTTATGAAGGAATTTTTGACCTCGTTGCAAGAACTTCAACATGAAATGAGGATTTGTACTAGATCATTGGCATGGCCACCGACAGGATGTTGTGACCCAAGAAAAGTTGTAAAACACCATGCCAATTGTCGTGGGGAATATAGATATCTTTGTAATTTAGACTATTGGGCCAGCACCAAATACCTCTCTAGAATGTTAGTTGAACAAAGACTTACTTGCCCCATAATTGAGATTGATACGATGAGGCATCTTGAGCCTTAGTCAAAAGTTTGGCCTTTCATTGAACCGAATCCTCAAAAGGTTTAACACCATGATCAATAGCAGTTCTATCATCTGCATGAATAATTATATTGACCCTCATCGGAAAAATGGTTATATGTCCGATCTCTACAACATATGGTTCCGAGATTAGTAAAAAACAAATGTCGATACTAGCTTAAGTGATAAAGTTCACTTATCACCCTTGGACCTTCTTCTTGTTGGTCACTTTCTTCCACAACTTGTCTTTGGGAGGATGTTGGAGTAGCTGAGGTAGACAAAATTACTTCATGAGGAGATAATCATCTCACCTCGAAATTGGTATTTCCATTCTTCATTCCAAACAATCATCGGATGCTCAGTAGATGATGCAATAGAAGTTGCAACAACATCCCGACATGAACAACTATTAGTAAAATAGTCCTTTGTTGGTCATAAAAATGTATGCCAAATAGATCTTACTTGTTGGAATGTTGAGATGCTTGTTGGTTTGGTTCCCTCCCAGCTACATCAGGCCGAATCACTCAAGATGGCTACATACAACCAAACTCAGAATCAAAATATGATAAATAAAAGAATATTTTGTATTAGATAGTCATGACCTATCTTTAAACCATGGTCTCTTCAAAAGTTGAGTCAGGGGAATATTATTATCATCTTCATCAGTTGAAAAGTGAAATACCATAAACGATGGTATCAATAGTTTAGATAGAATAAATATATATAGAAGCATATAGATATGTACCTTAATCAGAGCGAGCTATAGTTGTAACTGGCTTAAGAATAATTTAAGTTAAGGAAGTGTTGGAACTTTGCAGGAAGATTCTTAAACTGAATATTGAAAGACCAAAGCATATTTTGTAGATTTTTCGGCTCCATCTTTCACTTTTACTTTCTTCGGAGAAGGGCCACCCTCCCTTTGTCCACCTAAAAGAACTTGTTTCCAAACAAGTTATAAGGGCCAAATAAGTACCCAAAATTCTATAAATAGAAAAACCATGATCCGGCCTAAAAACCCTATGATCGCCCGAATAATGGCTTTCACAGGTCAATTATGTTTCTTATCGAAGCAATGAGCAATGCATGAGACCTAGCAACTTGGTGAGGTTTACATAAATATGGGCATAAAAAGGATCTGGAAAATTCAAATAAATCCATAATTCTAAGAACCAGAAGGGAATCGAAGAAACTGCACCTAAGTTGGATTAATTAATAGGTTTTGCACCAATTTTTGAAAGACCCTCATGTAAGTTGGTCACAAAGAGAGTGTCCAGAGAACCGTATCTACCTAAACCTATATGAATGACTGTATCTAAGTGGGTAAAAAAAATGCATTTGTTCAAGGGACATACACGTACCGGTTTAACTAGAATAGTAAGAAGGCTACGTATTCTACGTTTGATACTTCATCTGTCCTCGATCCCTAACGAGGGCCCACATACTTGTTTCAGGAGTTAACTTTGTTGCGCAAGTTGTTGCCTGGATCATCCCTCAGTGGCTCTCCCGATAATAACAACCCTACGGCTAGATCTTCCCTTACAATCGGGAGGTTTGAAATCACCCCTGCATCCAACAAATGTAGGGTCGTTTGGTCTGGTGGACAACATAAAAAATATTATTTGTAGAATCTCATAAGGCAGCAATAGCAATCAAAATATCCTCTTTGATATGGAAAGAAAAAGTTAAAAATAGAATTGCCTTGTCTATCCCTAACGCTTCCATTGTTCTTCAAAATGTTAGAATACGCATTACTACCAAATAGTCCATATCTTCGGGTAGCATTTATGTTGTTGTAAAGGCATTCAACATCAAAATTAAAAGTGTTGATGATCATACCTTGACTCTCATTAAACATGGCCTTAACACTAGGCGCTTCCTCCATCAAGGTGTAATCGGATGGACTACAAGAGTCAGTTTCTTTGACAACACAAAGTTTGGGACCGGCTCAGATCTGTCGAAAGGCGAAACAAAGCGGAGTCATATCAAGTGAATTTTATTTCAAAAGATCAAAAAAAAAAAATTTAGAAACTAAACAAACTCTCGAGATTCAAAGTTTCAAATTTCAAAACATAAAAATGGAATTATCAGGGAAGAGAACTAAGAATTTATAGAAGACAAATGATGGTTACAATCATGACGGCTTAGACTTAGAATACATGCTGAACTATTTCAATAGTCACCATCCCATCAAAACGTCATTTTTGTTAACGAAGTTGCCGCCTAAAAATTGATTGTCGAAACTTAAAATGATAGGACAAATTGTTAACACAAAAAATTTGGCCCTAGAAAACAACCAAATATCGGGTCATCCGATAGATAGGGCCCAAGAAAGACAATATAGGTCGAATATCACGTCAATTTCTGCTCTAAATTCAGTTCATTCAAGAGACAAATTAATGAACTATTTTAAAATTAACTTCAAACACAAACCAATCAAAAAATCATCTACTTCAACCACTCATAATCTATTGGGAATGCCACATAAGACAATTATCGTCTACAACCAATCACATTAATTGACTCCCAGTATGAAGCAACATGTCTTCCATCACATTCAATTTTTTTAGAAATTAGTTGAAAATTACCGCTTTAATTTTTTTTGTATTTTTATTTTTTATAATTAGATTATTGGCAGTTGTATCACATAATAATTTTTAAAAATAAAAAAATTATTTTTTCAATTTTGAATAGAATACAATTTTTTATTAAAAATAATAAATGATTAAACCGAACACACCTGTAAGTATTTCTATATATATATATATATATAAATGAAGCAAAATAAACGTGTTTTACCATTTATTTGTATCAATCATTCACCGACATATATTACATAATATTAATTTAAATTGAATACTGTGAATTGTAATTCAGGGTCGCATTTATCACTGCACGAAAATATCAGAAAAAAACCCAATCAATTTCTCAAGTTGCTTTCCTATTAATTTGGGGATGGGGTTGAGATTGGGGTTTCCAGTAGTTTCTCAGTCCAATTCTACAACGGAGCATATGAAAGCGGCCATGGGAGTCAACTCACTCTTCTTCCTCTTCCTCCTCTCTTTCGCCCTCTCCTTCTCCTTCTCCACTTCGGTATGATTCTCTGTCTTCGATTTCCATATTCTGTTTTACTTTCTAGTTATTATTATTCATTTTTGCTTTCGCACTCTTTCTATTTTGATATTAACAGCTGCGTCTGCGCGTGTATGTATTTACATACTTCTTCTGTTAGTTTCATAAAGCCTACTTAGATTCGATCTTCTGTTTTTGTGTTTGCGTAATTTATCGATGAAGTCAGTGAGTTTCAATTTGGTGGAAACCTCCTCTTTTGTGTTTGGCCTTCGAGATTGATCGATAAAGAAGAATATCTTAAATGCTTTTTCTATTTTTTCATTGGTTAGTTGGAAATCCAAGGCCGTTTTAGGCTTGGTCTCTTTTGATTAAATAATCATTTGAGTACTATTTATTTATTTATGTAGTATAATTTATTTGTTTGTTATTAGAAATTGATTTAAAATTAAATATTGATTAAAGTTTTTTTTAAATAGTGCTTTGAAATTATATTTTATAAAAAAAATAATATATTTTTTACTAGCAACTGTCTCAATTAAATAATGTTAACTTTAATTTAAAACAATGAAAAAGCATTTTTTAAATTTTTTATTTTTTATTTTTTTATGAAAAAACATGTGAAAGTAATGGATAATTTGTAATTTAGAGTAGTAGCAGTTTTTTTTTAAAGTAAAAATTAAAATTTTCTTATTTACAAAAGTTAATAATCTGGTAATGAGATTTATTCATTAGATGGAAATATTCTTTATTAATACGAATTTTTCTGTTTTTTTTTTTTTTTTTTTTTATTTTTTATTTTTTTTATAATTATTTTCGTTTTTGTTTAAAATCCCAAAAATACAACTCTGATCAAAGAGTCATGGGTGTGTATTGTCAGTTTGTTCTCGTGTGTTTCTTTTTGGTTAAGTTTGAGAAAAATTAGTTTTAATTTGATATTAAAATAATGTTTTATCAAATGTTTTGTGAGAGAAAAAAAAATACTCAATTCGTCTCAAAAGTATAGTCTTATTGTGTTGGACACGGGATTTAAGAAATATTGATATTATATTGGTGATTGGTAAAAAGTATGGATAAATGAATTTTTTGCTCTTGCGAGTATATTAGTGTTAAAAGTAGTGACAATTGTGTAATAATAATAAAAAAGTAGGGATAGTTTTATGGTGATATGGTTATTTATGGAAATGAGACTATTGTTTTGAGACGGACAAATATGATAAATAAGACTATTGTATTGGGACGAAGGGAGTATATTTTTTTTCAAGAAACACATATTTAAATTTGGGAAAATTGGTGTAAAGAAACAAATTATAAGAATATGAAAAAGACTTTTTGTATTGATTTTTTTTATGTTGATCTTTAAATATTAATTATTATATTAATACATAATATAAATTAAACGAAAAAGACAAAAATATGTTTATTAGTCTCTTATAATATAAATACGATGATATTTGTGAAGTAAATTATTTAAATATAAATATATTTTTAATGTCAAGTACAATTATCCAAACAGGATGATCCAGATTGTGTGTATACATTGTATATTAGGACGAGTTCAATTATCAAAGGTGGCACCGACTCTATCATCAGCCTTACACTATATGATCAGTACGGCTACGGCCTCCGAATCCCCAATCTGGAGACATGGGGCGGGTTAATGGGTCCGGGTTACAACTACTTTGAGAGGGGTAATCTAGACATTTTTAGCGGACGGGGTCCGTGTCTGTCGGACCCCGTTTGCAAGATGAACCTAACCTCCGACGGAACAGGTTCGGGTCACGGGTGGTATTGCAATTACGTGGAGGTGACTAGTGCAGGAGTCCACCAGCAGTGCATCTCGGAGCAGTTTGAGGTAGAACAGTGGTTGGCTACTGACGTCTCACCTTACGAGCTCACTGCCATTCGGGACAATTGTCCATCCAACGGTCACGCTGCCAAACCCATGGACGGTCAGGATTGGCTGATGGTGTCGAGTGTGTGAGATGTTTTTTATGCATGTATAACTTTTTATTCCAGTGGTCTGCTGTTGTATTTATTATGGATGGATATGGGTGCTTGTTAAGTTAAATAAATAAATCGATACACAAGTGAACTTATTATTTTGCCGGCACCTTCTTTGCTCGGATCAAATCTTCTCTTCTATTTTCTCCGGTTCCTTTTGTTTCATTCAATTAAATTTTAACATTTGTGTTATGTGGAATAGACCTTACATATAGTATTATTTATAGTTTACAATATTTTCCAATGAAAATAATTTTTATCAAAATTTATCAAATAAAATTGTGTGGAAAGAACACTGTAAGCTACCTTTATGATTTGAAGATGGCCGCTCAGAACTTCTTCTCTTATAAATAAAAACTCTCTAAGGAAAGACGATTCATCAACAACTCGGTTTCATGATAGATTTTATTCTCGCAATACCCATTTAAACTAACAATAAAAAATTAGATACTACTTTGCGAGAAGTCAACCCCTACCGAAGTTGCCGCCGGAACCACCGCTGTATGAGTTGCTGGAGCCACCGCTGGAGGAGTCACCGGAGTCTCCGGAGCTACCGCCGGAGCCGCAGTCAAGGTTGTTACTCCTCTAGTTGGGCCAATTCCTTTTATGGGTAGCCCTATGTTTTTTGAATTTGCCCAAGGGGGATGTGGGGGCTTTCCTGGGTTTGTGGCCACACCTTCTGCTACCTCCACGGCCCAAACTGTTGGTCCTGAGCTTGGCTCACGGATGATGCCCCATGTACAAGTTCCACAATAATTCACTAGAGTGGATTTTAAGAGATGGCAAGAGAAGATGCTCTTCTACCTGATTGCAATTGAGTTTATCACGTTCGTGTTACACAATAGCCCAATTACCCTAGAGCCCAGTGCAGACCAGCAGACGCATGCGAATTATGTATCATCGGCACATGGAGACTACATGACAAGAAATACAATATTAGATAGTCTCTCTAACTCTGTTTATAATGTATATTATAAAATAAAGAGTGCGAAAGAGTTGTGGGATGCCCTTGAGAAAAAATATAAGTCTAAGAATTTCGGATCTAAAATGTTTGTTGTGGCTTGGTTTATGGCCTATAAAATGGTAGATAGCAAGTCTGTCGTCGAACAAGTGGAAGAATTTCGACATATTGTTCACTCTGTTATCGACGATGAGATGCCACTACCAGAAAAGTTCATCACGAGTGTGATAATCGAGAAATTGCCCCCGAGTTGGAACAACTTTAAGCACGGGTTGAAGCAATAGCTAAAGCAAGTGGGGCTTGAAGATCTAATTGTACAAATCCGGATAATGGAGGACAACAGAAAGCAACACAAGGCTCAAAGCAGATATATTGCTAAAGCCAACTTAGTTGGAGATCCTTAAAAAAACATGTACGCCCAACTCAAACGGACAAGGGCAAAGCCAAAAAGTTCAAACTTATAGGTAACTGTTTTAACTGTGGTAAAACAGGACACCAGGTTAAGGACTGCAAGACACCGAAAAAGAAGAAGCCGAGTTTCCAACTGGTTGAGACGAGCCACCAGACTGATCCTGACCTCAATAGTGACGACCTTGTCGCTGTTGTGTGAGAAACAAATAATGTGGAAAGTCCGAGAGCTTGGTATATTGACACCGGAGTAACCTGCCATGTTTGCTCCGACAAAACAAACTTCTCGACCTACAAAGAGACCGAAGGGAGGAAGCTGCACATGGGAAATCACGCAACTTTTGAGGTCCAAGGTGTAGGGAACGTGGTGCTGAAGATGACCTTTGGCAAAGAACTAACAGTGAAGGATGTCCTGCATGTGCCAGACATTCGGAAAAATCTTGTCTCAGGATCGCTGCTAGTTAGGCATGGTTTTAAACTTGCTTTGTAGTAGATAAATTTATATTATCGAAAAATGAGATGTTCCTACTAGGGGTTATCTTACAAATGGGTTGTTCAAATTGAATGTAATGGTCATACGCCGAGCACCACCTACTGATAATAAAAATGTGGCTTCTTCTTCGTACTTGATCGAATGTTATGATTTATCGCATTGTAGATTAGGTCATGTAAACCTAAATGCTATAAAAAAATTAGTAAATATGATACAAAAGAGGTGAACGCTCAAAGCAAATGTGAAGTTTGCGTGGAGGCCAAAATGGCAAAATTACCCTTCTCGTATGTTGAAAGGAAGACTAAGCCATTAGAGTTAATTCACACCGATGTATGTGATTTAAAATGTGTGCAAAATAGAGGTGGAAATAAATATTTCATCACCTTTACCGATGACTGCACAAAGTATTGCTATATTAACCTATTAGGGGAAAAGAACGAAGCAATCGATGCCTTCAAGAACTTTAAAACTGAAGCAGAAATCAACTTGACTGTAAAATCAAGATAGATGTGGCAAATATGTGGCCCCGTTTGAAGAATTATGTAACAAAAGTGGCATAATTCATCAAACAACGGATCCATATTCAGCTCAATCGAACGATGTTGCAAAATGCAAAAATTGAACACTTACGGAAATGATGAATGCCTTATTGATAAGTTGAGGACTTCCCCAAAACTTTTGGAGGGAGACGGTATTGACTGCAAATTATATCCTGAACAAGATTCCACTTAAGGGTAAGGATGTTACCCCTTACGAACTATGGAAAGGTAAGAAACCCACATACAAATACCTCAAGGTGTGGGTGTGCCTAGCAAAAGTGGAAGTTCCGCCTCCAAAGCAAGTCGTTATCGATCCAAAAATTGTAGATTGCACATTTATTGAATACGCACTAAATAGTAGTTCTTATCGTTTCATAGTTCACAAATCGAAAATCCCTGGGGTGACCGAATGAACTACGATAGAATAAAGGAATGTCATATTCTTTGAAAATGTCTATCCTTGTAAGGAAAGGATACAATCCAACCCAAAACTTGTAGATGAAGAACTACGAGGCGTAAAGAGACAAACGGCTGGTAGCCCTGATCAAGAGGTTTCAGAACCTAGGCATAGCAAAATGACAAGGGTCGAGAAAACCTTTGGTCTAGATTTTATTACGTATATGTTGGACAATGATCCAACAATGATCAAAGAAGCACTATCAAGTCCTGATGCTCTATTCTGGAAGGAAGCAATAAACAGTGAAATAGACTTAATAATACAAAACAATACTTGGGTGTTATCTGATCTACCCAAAGGCTGTAAACCATTAGGGTGCAAATGGGTATTGAAAAGGAAACTCAAGGCGGATGGGCCTATTGATAAATACCAAGCTTGTCTCATAGTAAAAGGCTACAAATAAACCAAAGGGTTTGGCTTCTTCGACACATATTCACGAGTAACTAGGATAACATCCATTCGAGTGTTTCTTTCGATTGCGTCTTTGAACAATCTTGAGATTCACCAAATGGATGTGAAGATTGATTTTCTAAATAGTGAATTAGAAGAAAATGCATATATGGAACAACCAGAAAGATATGTCGTTCCTGGCCAAGAGAAAAAGGTGTGCAAACTGATAAAGTCTTTGTACGGACTGAAACAAGCACCTTTACAATGGCACTTAAGATTTGATAATGTCATGTTATCAAATGGTTTTAAAATAAACGAGTGTGACAAGTGTGTCTACATCAAAGACACACCTTCCGGTTTTATCATAATTTGTCTATATGTAGACGACCTATTGATCATGGCTAAAGAGGTCAGTCTGATCAATGAGGTCAAATGCATGTTGAGTCGTAACTTCGACATGAAAGATTTGGGGCTAGCCGACGTCATCCTTGGAATGAAGATTCTAAGACAAGATGAAGGTATTGTTTTGACTCAGTCCCATTATGTGGAAAAAATACTGAGAAAATTCAATGCCTACGATAACATTCTAGTGAAAACCCCAATGGACCTCAACGTACACTTGAGCAAGAATATAGGAGACCCCGTAACTCAATAAGACTATGGCAAAATTATTGGAAGCCTAATGTACTTAAAAAATTGTACAAGGCTTGACCTGGCTTGCCCTGTAAACAAGCTGAGTCGATACACTAGCAACCCCAGTCATGAACACTGGAAAACACTAGTAAGAGTATTAAGTTATCTTAAATTTACTCTGAATTTTGGCATACACTACGCGAAATATCCACCAGTACTCAAAGGGTACTGTGATGCCAATTGGATATCCGATGCAAAAGACTCACTGTCTATAAGTGGATATGTATTTACGATTGGAGGATGAGCGGTTTCGTGGAAATCCACAAAACAAACGTGCATTGCATGGTCCACAATGGAATCGTAGTTCATCACCTTGGACAAAGCTGGCGAAGAAGCCGAATTGCTGAGGAACTTCATGGATGATATTCCATACTGGACTAAACCAATACCTCATGTAATGATTCACTGTGATAGCCAAGTTGCAATAGTAAGGGCTAAGAATGGAATTTACAACGGTAAATCCCGACATATCCGACGTAGACATAATACTGTAAGACATTTGATCAACAACAGGGTTTTGACTATTGAATATGTAAAATCAATATAAAACCTAGCAGATCCGCTAACCAAAGGATTGCAGAGAGATCAAATATATAAACTGCTAAAGATAATAGGTTTGAAATCCACAAGATAGAGACAATTACAGTGGTAACCCAAAAAAATCACTTGGAAATCCCAAGCCTTGGTTCAATGGGAAAACTAAGCTGTGAGAGTCCGGCACGAACACTCAATTACAATTTCTTGAAAAGCAATGAGTGTTATAATGTGCAAAAGTGGTGAGGTTGAATCAATGACTTTTAATGATCCTAAAGGTGTGAGTTAGATACCTTGAGATATGATTATCTATATAAGTGTGAAGTGTGGGCCGCTTCAAACGAAACACTTATGAATCCAAAGACGAGATCCATGGCCGAAATGGATCAAAACGTAAGAACAAAGTTGAGACTGAGATAGCAACACATCAATATTATTGACTAAGTGAGGTGGAACAGTTCAATGCATCACGTCAACTGAGCCATCAGTACACTCTGTAATGTTGACTATGGAAGGTTCAAAACCAAAAGTTACCTATCCTCATGTGTCAATGTCTCACAAGGATTGAGCTGAGCTTCTGTCCTTTGTGGGCATTTCCACTAATGTAGGGGATTGTTGGATAATCGGTTATTTATGCAACCGATTAATTGGTGAGTGAAAATGTGACGG